AATTAGGTAATAGGAATGTATTATTTACTAAAAATAGTATTCTAAGTGTGATATTATGATCTCCAAATCTCGATATGTAATCCATTTATAGAAGAAGTTGGTTGTGAGTCATCCTGAATATTTATTTTTAAAAAAACACTGAATAATAGTACTAAATCCCACTAAATGATTAGTGCAACTAAACTTTGTAGATCACAAATGAAATACTGACAAAGCAGAAGACAAAAAATGCACCAAACTGGAAATTAGACAAATCTGTTGCATCTAAAAACTGCACTAAAATAAAATTCTGGGATAAAACACTGAGGGAAAAAAACTTAAAATCAACAGAAATACTACATTAATTGTTCCACTTATTCATATTTTACCAAAGGAAATAACCTGCAAAGGTTATTAGATAGGATACTGGCATTGCCTGTCACAGAACAAGATTGCATGAAATACCATTAAATATGAACAAGACTCACTTGCGGTGGGTGGGCTGGATCCTTCCCCTTCTTCTTCTGATTTGATTTAGCAGCTTTGGGGTAAACAATCAGGTTTTCCTGCCACCTAAATGAAATAAACAACCTCAAATTCATATACACGGCAGACCCCAAAAATGGACCAAGACTAGAAATCACACGCATATGCAAACTCAAGCAAGCTTTCAGATTGTTCTTACTTCTGCTTTCTGGACATCACTCTTCTAGACTAAAAACCTCCAGTTGCAAGGAATCAGAGAATTACAAGCAATAAAAGAACAATACTGAACAACCCCAAAAGAGCCAGTTCTAAAGCTGGTGTTCTCAGCACAGACAGAAACACAAGCACACACTAATCCAAGACTCCTTGACACCTTCTATTACACTCTTAAGGAATTAGATCAGCTTTGCTGAGATTTAGTGACTTATAACACTCAAGTAGAAACATAGAGATGAGACTGAAGACAGAGAGAAAGAGAAGATATTAGCTGAACTTGTGAACAAAGCTGAGGTTTTGGCACTTTGTCACAAAAAAAACCCCAAGAAATGTATCAACTTGACTTCACTTCTTTTGGTCCATTACATCACAACATATGATTGTATAGTATAATGCATATCAATTGGGATAAAAAACAACTAATGACAAAGTAGCTGTAACGTGTGGCCAAGTTCACACCACAGGTCAGTAAGTGTATTACCTACTAATGCTGAAGCTGTCTGTGTTCTCTGTTCGGATGTAGTAGTCTCTGTCAGTGAAGCACAACCTCAGACAGTTCTGGAAGCCAGTTTGATATGAAACGTCAAGAACCTCACAGCACTGGGTCATATTTACACTTCCTTGGGGCAGTGTACCTGACTAGATGAAAACAGTCGGTGATGTGTGTAAATATTCAAATGTAATCCCCTTTGTAATTGTTAACATTTTCATAAGTAACTGTAATTTAATTACACATTTTTTCTTAGTAACTGTAACTGATTACAGTTACATTTATTTTGTAATTAAATTACGTAACGCCGTTACATGTAACTAGTTACTCCCCAACACTGCTTTTAAGTGTATCTTTTTGCTTTGACTTCCTAAGGGTGTACAAGACAGATTTAGAGGCAGGTTTTTAATGTTTTATTTTTAATTTTTACAGTGTGGTATGCTACTACATGTGCCACATGACCTCACTACATTTTATATTTATTTCAGGAAATGACGCCCAGTTACCTTTTTTTGTGTGTGTGAAAATGCCCTGAACTTGTAGTGTAGTCAAACAATACATTAAAAGTAGATGTTAGAATCACTTTCAATTCATTAACCTAACAATGGAAAGGTCAAGCTGTGTACAGTTGCATTATGGTATATAGAACCCAGTGTGCTCTGGTTGTATGAATATGATAAAAAATGAATATGATAAAATATGAATACCATTAAAATATATATACCGTCAGTATTTTGTATGAATTTTATTTATAGTTAAAATACATTACATAAAGGAATATACAGATTTGATTTCTATATGATGGCATATCAATTGGGATAAAAAACAACTAATGACAAAGTAGCTGTAAAGTGTGGCCAAGTTCACACCACAGGTCAGTAAGTGTATTACCTACTAATGCTGAAGCTGTCTGTGTTCTCTGTTCGGATGTAGTAGTCTCTGTCAGTGAAGCACAACCTCAGACAGTTCTGGAAGCCAGTTTGATATGAAACGTCAAGAACCTCACAGCACTGGGTCATATTTACACTTCCTTGGGGCAGTGTACCTGACTAGATGAAAACAGTCGGTCTGTCATTACACAAAGAAGGAAAGATTATAATAATTCTAAACTTTTGTTGGTCACTGCAATAATCCAAAAATCAATGGAAAATTATTTTGGGTTTTTGTCAAAGGAACCAAGGTGAAGACGTGTTATTGTTGGCCAGCCTGGAAGTTAGCCTTCAAAAATGCATCATTATTGCAGCACTCTATTAATGATAATGCTAAATGACATTCAGTATAATATGAATCAAAATAAACAAATTTCTGGTCTGGTGTCAGTCATGGGGATACGTAAGCTTGGGATAGTGACGTACAAAAAAGGTTAGGAAACACTGCATGAAAAATGGGTAAAACCTCACCATCTCATCCAGAGAGTATCGTAGAAGCCCATGCTCGTAAAGCACAAAATATCTCCTCTGCCATTTCTATAACAGAGATGGCAAAGAAAGATTAAGGCTACAGTTAAAACATAGTTACATATCAACGGGCTGTATCTGACGGAAATAATCTGTGGAAATGCCAGCGCCATCACCCGTTTCCTGTGGCCAGAACTGCTGAAGTCAGTGTCCTCTGGGGCCAGGAGGAGCCAGCCCACCTGAACAGGCTTAGTCTGTGACAGAGAATGATATCTACTCTATTCTTTATGTTTTAAATAAAATAAAATAACATAAAATTAATGTCACTTTAAAAAAAAAAGTTAAGAAATTATATCCTCACCTGAAACAGATCTACTTCGCCGAGTTTGTGCGAATCCACGGTTTTGAAGCAGTTTTGACATTTACTTTTATTGAAGATGTTGGCCTGAAAGCGATGACACCGATTCTCGCGTGCAGAAAACATCGTTTTTGGGGGGAAATGTGAAAGTGTCGACATTTACTTTTTTTTTTTTAAATAAAGTAAAATTACTAAATAACTCATTTAAACTGACGATTGTGGTAGTGGTAATGATGAAATATATATATTATCAATGACAAAACCAACAAAGAGCATTATGTTTAAAAAGATCTTAATTCATGCCACACCTGTCTGTAAAATCATTAGCATAAACGCTTGTCTGAATGTGTGAGTGAAAGTGATATCCATTAAAATTCTCCACCCTCTGCTTTCAGATCAACTTTCATCTTCTGTTTCTTCATTATGGCCTCCAACTCAGTGGCCTTCCGCTCATCCTGAAACAGAGTGACGACAAGACAGATATGAAGAGAATCATCATTTATCTCTGCTAATTTCCCTCCTGTTTGTTCAGTGATTTCCAGTCGCCTTAAACATTCACTGAGACAAATCAGCTTTGAAATGTTCTGACAAATGACTTCTATACTGTAAGTGAAAATGCTTCTATTTCACTACATTTGAATTATTTAACTATTGACCTATTAATGCAGCATTTTAAAATGCTTTTGCTTGAAAAACCTAGTTAAAGATTTAATTAAAATGAAATATTCTTCATTTTAAGTCGTTTTTGTTTAATATTTAGATTTTTTCAAAATCCTAAAACTGTTTATTTCTAATCTTAAATTAAAAAGAGAGAAAGGGATTATTTTTTTCCCTCAATACATTTTTAATTTGGTCTCAGACCTCACCATAAATATTCACAGTAACTATCCCCAGTCGAAGGTGACTGACAGAAGATCCCTTTTCTATTAATTGAGTTCTGACAACTGAAACTGCCAAAGGGAAATATGAGAAGGCATGATATTTTGTGAGAATGTTTCTGTGAGTGAGTGATTTACCTCCAGCAGTGCTTTCTGCACCATGATCTGGCTGTAGACTCTGGTTCCCTCTTCTGGACAAACAGCACGCAGCTCCTCCTTATTCAGAGAGAAGAGCTGAGCTCCCGTAAGGACACCCAGACTCTGTACAGTGCTGAGACAGAGATAGAGATTAAACACATGAGAAAAGGTCTTAGATCAGTTTTAGCTCCAGATTGTTATGTCCATGTGATGTGTGTATTTTACTCACTAATCACTGAAGCCTTTGGCCATGAGCCACCCCTGAACCTCAGTTTGAGAGGAGTGATAGTCCAGCGGTGCTGTTGTCTCATTTGCTTTGTTAATTACCACTGGACGTACTGATGCTGATTTACCATTAGCCAATCGCTGCAAGAGCTCATCATTCATCAAAAATACTGTTAACACACATAAATATTACTGTAAGAAATCAAATAAAATATAAATTTTTAAAAGTGGACATTTATGACATCCTCTGATATGACATATATGGGATAATATACAGTCAGTCGGTCATTATAAAAAAAATCCCAGAAAGGTCTCATTTCATTCAGTTTTATTATTTTTCACTAAAACTATTAAAAATGCTTTTGGTAGTTGAAATGAGCTGTAATAATTTAAAACATATATATGTTTTAAATTACTAACTAACTTCAATAAGCATGTTTAAGTTTAAGTACTAAAATTCAAAAACTAAAACCGAAATAACAATTAATTAAAGCTATATGTAAATAATTTAAAAACAAAAACTGATAAAATGACAAAAAATTTCTTTGAAATTATAAAAATAAAAGCTAATTTAAAATATTAATAAAAATTGTGTATATAATAGTATATAAATAATACAAAAATTACACTAGTATAATTCTGAAAGGGTTTTGTTTTATGATACTGATCATGTGACTCTAAAGCATCCAGCTTATTAAACAACTATTTACCAAAAGAACAAATCCATACATATAAATAACATTTATTATTTAAATCAATATTTATTATTATTAACTATAAAATAATTATTGATTTGAATTTAATTAAGTTTTAATTATGCGAAGAAGAAAAAAGAATACCCAGAATGAAACTGGCATAGTGTTAAAGTCTTTTGCCAAGTACAAATGGTCAAACATACAGTTTTGCGGATATATTTGACTGCAGAATGTCACAAATGACCAATCAAAATCAAGTACTCCTGAGAGTCAAATACTAATACTGGAGAAAAATGAATAAAATGCAAAATAATTTTTGAAATGACACTAAGCCATTCATTTGTGTGCATACAACACCGATAAATAATGACTTCACCATCCTCCATAACCTCAAGGTATTTCACTTTTACTCCAGAAGTACTGTCCTTGAGTATAATTCTGAAAGGGTTTTGTTTTATGATACTGATCATGTGACTCTAAAGCATCCAGCTTATTAAACAACTATTTACCAAAAGAACAAATCCATACATATAAATAACATTTATTATTTAAATCAATATTTATTATTATTAACTATAAAATAATTATTGATTTGAATTTAATTAAGTTTTAATTATGCGAAGAAGAAAAAAGAATACCCAGAATGAAACTGGCATAGTGTTAAAGTCTTTTGCCAAGTACAAATGGTCAAACATACAGTTTTGCGGATATATTTGACTGCAGAATGTCACAAATGACCAATCAAAATCAAGTACTCCTGAGAGTCAAATACTAATACTGGAGAAAAATGAATAAAATGCAAAATAATTTTTGAAATGACACTAAGCCATTCATTTGTGTGCATACAACACCGATAAATAATGACTTCACCATCCTCCATAACCTCAAGGTATTTCACTTTTACTCCAGAAGTACTGTACTTGCAATCATACTTTGAATAAAAGGCATTTGTTAAATAGTTAGAAGTCACTAATTTACAAATAGTGCAGTTATAAACATTACCTTTATCTCCGTTTTCTCCAATTGGTGGCATACTGTGGGGGCGTGGATCAGGGTGGAATGCATTTTTGCCTGTGGAACTGGGTAGAACACAGGAGAACCTCCCTCCTCCTGGGGGAGGAATAGGAGCTTTCTATGAAAATATGATAGGAATTAGTTTGTGACTTAGCATGTGAGTGTGTTGCTGATTACATATGTGAGCGCATGATGCCTTTACCATGGACTGCTTGCGCATTACTACGTTGGAAGAGTCAACTTCTGCGTGATTGATTGGCTCGAGGATATTATGTGGAACAAAACCAATCTGGCTGTATTCATTCCTACATTTCCACCATCGCTTTGATGACTCTAACACCTAAGACAGAGAGCATAAGAGACACAGAGAGAGACAAAGTAAGGGTAAATGTAGTAAACGGAGTGTTTGTCAATTGGTGTTATTCAAGCTATTCCTTAAGATATGGGGAAAACATGTGGCGGAACCCATCCTCATGTGGCTTGGAACGTGACATTTTATATATAAACTTTTTAATATAAAAATACATATTTTAAATATTTTATATTATAATATTAAGAATTTTTTTATAATAAAACATATGTTCACAAAACTGTGTTTTTAAATATTGACATTTATAATGACATTTTAAAATGTAATTTATTCCTGTGATGGTAAAGCTGAATTTTCAGCTTCATTACTCCAGTCTTCAGTGTCACATGATCCTTCAGAAATCATTCTGATATGCTGATTTGATGTTCAAGAAACATTTAATTTGAAAAAAATCTTACTGACCCCAAACTTTTGAATAGTCGTGTGTAGTCATAGTCGTAATACATGTGAATTAAAATAAGTGCAAAAAGGGAAGCCTTGCTTGTATGTATGTCTATGCAAGATACCTCCAGAGTTTCTCCATGTAATACTGAGAGTTCACTACTGTTTCGTGCCACAAAGTCATAACTGCAACGGTACAGCCTTTCTTCATGAGGAGGCAAGGAGTCTTCCATCCTAAACCGAAATCACACACAATGAAACAAAGTGGCATCACAAAGACACCCACTCACACACACACACACACACACACACACACAGCTGACTGGTCAATACTAACCCGTCATGTTCCTGGTATACAGTTAGACGGGCCTGTGGAAAGAGAAAGGAAGGAATTGAAGGTGGTTTGTATTGTGGCTGTGTTTATGTCAGTGAGTGTGAGGTTTCATACCTGCTGAGTCTGCATAAGTGCTTCATGTTTGTGCTGGGACTCTATGGGGTCCTCGATGGGTTGTCCGTATGCGTCTATGGTCATTGGCTGCCAACCATCCAGAAAGACAGGTGTGTATTGATTCACAGTCTTGCCGAGTTGAGGGCTGACAAACACAAACTGGAGTTAACTAACCAATCTTCATTAGTTAAAGCCTTTATTTAGCAAAATCGAACCCTTAATAGAGAATTTACACTTTTTATAATGTGCTTTTCCTTCCTTTTTGAAGCTCAAACACTCCTTTCCCCATTAAATATAATACTACGCCACCCTGCATCATATTTGCTGAATGAAATCCTATACTTGTTTCTTACTAATTTTGGGGTGTTGATTCCAAAAATAGTGCCTTGCATGTCACACTTTTTCATAAAATATGATGTGCTTTTCACAGCGTTTTGCTTTCGATAGCAATTTGTAAGGTGAATAAGTCTTATCCAATAATAACCAGAGAAAAAAATGCCACAAAGACATATTTTTCCATTCCTTTGCAGAATAATATATTTTGAGTACTTCTTTTTGCTATTAAACCACAACTTTTAACATTCGACTGCTTTTGTTATTTTAATAAGTGCATTAAAGTTTGATAAATATATATATATTTATATATTGTGACGAGTGGGGCGGGGTCGAGAGCCGTGGGAACGGAGTGAGGCCAGTGGAGTAAGTGATAATGCACAACACCTGCGCCACTCACCGGTCTCGAGTCCCACGGAGGAGCTCCGGAAGGATAAAAGGAGGAGTGACGACAGTGCAAGACGAAAGAGGACCAGGCCTGGATTTATGTTGTTTTGTTTTTGTTTGTGTGCGGCAGTCGTCCGTGAGGGGCTGTTGCGCTATTTTCAGTTGTGTGTTTATTTCATTATTAAATTATGTTTAAATGTTCGCCGGTTCCCGCCTCCTTCTTCCCGAACTACGAACTGTGTTTTATATATATATATATATATATTTTTTTTTTTTTGTATGTGAAAAAGTTTTTAAAGATATTTTTGAACTCAGTATAATCAAAATAAGTAATATAAAGCCTTTTTTGCAAAACGGCTATTTTTTTAAGATACAGGGCTTTGTTGTAGCGAAGAAAAACTAGAACTTATGTTGTGTTCTTTTTTGTGCAAAGCAAAAGAAAGTTATACAGGTTTGGAACAACGTTAGGGTGAGTAAATAAACAGTTTAAGCGAGGTTCAAACTCAAAGTAGATATCTATTTGGTTGTGCATTCTAATAGTGTGATATCCATTCTACGGTTTTGTTACTGACTATGGCATGGTCCAGTTTGATCCGAGTGAATTCCACAGTTGTTTCTCTTGTTCATTAAGGTTCTGCTGTAGTAGAGAGATTGCTCCACTGGTCATAGCGGGGCTGGAGACTGTTGCTGCCAACTCAGGACCACCTGTGGTCTTTACCATCTGGTGAACATACAACAAACCATATACACCATATGGCAATTACAATTTCTTTCCTTATTTTGTGGAAAAACTTAACCTCTGTTCTCTTCTAAATTAAAGTTAGAGGAAGTTGTACCTATGTTGCCAATTCTATGTATAATAGATTTTGAATTAGGCATGTGAATGTTAGTGTTTGGGTGAGTCTCTCTGGATGTCTGATGTGTGTGTGTGTAATACTCTTACCAAGTGCAAAGGGATGAAGACATGGTGCAAGAGTTCTTCTGCGGTTGGCTCTGAGATTTTCATCTTCAGGCGATCCTACAACACAGACACACACACTGGTCAAGCACAGCAGTTTTATGAAGCTCTTAAAGCTGTCTTTTCTGCTCTACTACTCAAGCAACCAAACAAAATTGCAAAAAAAATAGCTGGAGAAAAACACCTCCCTTTTGGCGGGGATAAAAGGCAATATTTAGAAAGATTTGTCTAATTCGTCACCTTACCAGTAGACAGAGGGAATATTTAATCTTCTGAAAAATATCCACAAATTCTTGTTCTGATGGCGGGGTCACCGTTTGTGTGAGAGGGCCATCTACAAACACAGATGTTTAGGATTTATGATTTATTATGTTTCTGAAGGTCTCGGATAGGCTTGAGAATTATGGAGGTCATCGGGGGCATCTCTCTCACCATCCTGCTCTTTCTTCTTCTTGCTTTTCTTCTTCTCCTTCTTTTTGCTATTCTTCTTAGTGCTCAGTTGCTCTAGAATGTTCTTAGCGTCTGCTGTCTCCTGCAGACGGGCCATGAAACGCTCCACATCAGCAAAACAGTAATTCACCAGCTCCTAAGAGAGGGGGATATAAGAAAGGAGGAAACTGTAAGGTTTTAAGCAATAAGTCCAATTACACAAACAGTGGTATTTTCAAGCACTTTCATGTCTTTTCTCTAAAGCTAAAATCCCAGTAACATCATATTTTTTCAGGTCAGGGCAACTCAGGTTCTTAATTACAATGTTGTACTTAAAAACAATAGTTTCATATTTTTAATGTTATGTTTTCAAAAAAATTATGAATTGCTTGATCTTTTTATATTTGTTGTTTTGCTAAATATAGAATAGGATGTTTAATGACAGGTTTCAAAGTGAAAACTTACCCCATATACCCTAATAGTGGGGCCTGTTGTCATAAAGGTGAACTTGCATTCAATGAACTGTACTTTTTTTCTGAGCGATAATGTTGAAAATTATTGCAAAATACTGGTGTGTTTATACACCCTCTTTTTAATCTCTTTTTAAATAAATAACCTTCACAGGTGTAAAAAGTGTGACAACTAGCCCTGGTCTCCTTTATTACAAAACGAAATTTTTTTTTTTTAGGTCTGCATTCTATTCAACAGGCAGTGTCCTATTTAACGGTCATACTTACAACTTCTCTCTGTGCATGCATCAGATGTGTATCTGTTTTCACTCTGTTTCCTCCATTTACTAAGAAAAGATACAAGTATAGAGCAATGAAATACACACACACACACACACACACACATATATATATATATATAAATTTACATATTATCAAAAATATATATATATTGTCATTACGTATATATTTTATAAAATAGACATACAGAAAATAGACATATATGCACATGCATTTACACCTATGGGACGTAAGTTAGCAGCTGTGTCGTTTGTAGACTTAGACTGTCTCCTAGGGATAACTGGGGGAGCAGCCATCTTAGAAAGCGAAAACATGAAAATAGAAAAGACAAAAAACAGAGAAAATTATATAGACAGTGATAAAATTCCTGTCATCATATTGACCGCTTTACCTGGTCACCTGCTAACAAACTCATGGCATGGGCACATTTGTTGCTTTTCAAATGCATTTAAGAGAACAAACAATTTCTGAATTTTTAAATCTACTTAAATAATATATACAGTTCCTTGGTCACCACTTTATGTGGGACTAAACATTTAGTTAAACAGCATTATGCTACCAGAACCCAATTATCAAAGAGGATTATTGGGTAGTGGGCTATTGGGGAGAAAACATTATAAACTGAAGAACTGAACAAAAAAGTGAGACGACTATGCCAAGGGGCCTGACAGAATCTCTTTAAATGGTTTAATAAACTAAGCTTTGGGACTTGGGCTACCACAACTCCCTATAATTAAGACACGCCTGTTCAGATTTTTATTTTATTTATTTTTTATTTTTTTCCAAACAAACTCAATGAATGGCTTTTTTGTAAATCTGGTCTTGGCAGGGTTGCTTGAGAGTTTCACTCATTTGTTGTTTAAGACTCGGATAAAGAAGGTTGACATTCCATACATAACCAATACATTACCGCACATTAGCTCAGTCACATCTATGGCCTCCGACCAACAGAAACCAATAAAAGTTTTTCAGATCTTCTTATGATCTTATGATCAGTGAGCTTCTTGGTTGTGGGGTCACACCAGAGCTGTTACAGAGTCTCTGAACATTTCTTTTCAGGATGTTAACAGTTAAAAAAACAATAATAATAGTCATAAAAAATTTACAACTCAACTTTTACAGATGGATTCGAAAGTCTGAGACCACTTGATAAAAATGTTTTTCTCATGTGTATTTTCCTGTTTTAAATACATAAATAAATAAATGCCAGCCTTCAGCATCTCCGCAGCCCTATATACAGTGGGTATAGAAAAGAATCACCCCCTTTAAAATAATCACATTTTGTTGCTTTGCAGCCTGAAATGAAGACAGACACCGTTTTTTGTTTTATCCAGCTGTATTTACTCTGTGCAACTTATAACATCCAAGTGAAAGACATAACACCAAATTTGATGGTGAGCGTTTGTGGACTGCAGGCTTCAAGTCATTGCACAGATTTTCAGTGAAGTCTGGGCTCTGACTAGGCCATGCAAGGACATTCAACTTATTCTCCTTCAACCACTGTGTGCTCAGTTTTGCTGTGTGCTTTGGGTCATTGTCTTGTTGAAAGGTAAACCTTCTTCCCATTGACAGCTTTCTAGCAGAGGGCAGCAGATTTTCCTCAGGAATTTGACAGTATTTTGCCCCATCCATTTCTCCGTCTATCCTGACAAGTGCTCCAGTACCTGCTGCAGAGAAACACCCAGAACAGGATATTAGCACCTCCATGCTTTACTGGAGAAATGCTGTTATTTGGATGGTGAGCTGGATTTCCGCCAGACATTTTGTTTAGTGTCGAGGCCAAATAATTAAATTTTAGTCTCATCTGCCTCAGAATCTTCAAGGTGTGTTTTGGCAAAGCTCAGTCTGACTGCATGTGGCCTTTCTTGAGGAGTGGCTTTTTTCTTGCAACCCTCTCATACAAGCCACATTTGTGAGAATTTGTGAAATTGTTGTCACATGCACACAATGACCACTCTTCAGAGTTGCTGTAGGCCTCTTGGTCGCCTCTCTGAGCAGTTTCCTCCTGGCTCTTCCATTCAGTTTGGAGCGACGTCCTGATCCAGGGAGGCTCTGTGTTGTACCAAATACCTTCCTCTTCTTAATAATAGACTTCACTGTGCTTCTAGGCATTGATAAAGCCTTTGATATTTTTTTGTATCCATCTCCTTGTGCCTGTCCACAACTTTATCCCAGAGATCTTTTGACAGTGCTTTGCCACCCATAGCTGATTGTTTGCTTCAGTTGCACTACCAAGGACTGAAATGCTGCAGGAAAGCTATTTTTCCAAAACTGACATGTTGGTGTTGTATCTTTCACTTGGATGTTATAAGTTGCACTGAGTAAATTCAGCTGGATAAAACAAAAACTTTATCCATCTTCATGTCAAGCTGCAAAGCAACAAAATGTGATTATTTTAAAGGGGGGTGATTCTTTTCTATATCACTGTACGTAGGACAAGCAGTTAGGAAAATGTATGGATGGTTGGAAATAAATAAATTAAATGGCAATAGGCAATATGCAATAGACTGCATAACAAGTTTGTGTAAAAATGAGTGATCATTTTCTCCAGCATGATTTGAGATGATCCATAGAGCATCTTGTGCTTCAGTGGAAGCAGGAATATCTGACTGTCTATACAATAAGTCATGATCGATGCCCTGAATGTACTTGAGTGACCTAGAAATAGTGCAGAATCTAAAACATTTGATCTTCATTTTATGTCATAATAATTCTTAATTTAATGTTTAATGCTTAACATTCAATGTTTAAAATGTTTCAAAATCCTAATCTTTTTTTATTTCAAGGTTTAGATTAGATTTTGAATACCTGGTTTTCAGATTTTTGGACACCCACTATATTCCTGAAAATTGCAAGTAGAAATCTTCAAGAACCATATTAAAAACTCAACACAATCACCATGTCAAAATCACTGCGTTGGCTAAACACTCTTGTGTTGTTTAGGAGGAGTGGCAGCATCTATGCCCAGGATTTTTATCACAGCTGCTATTATTAGCAGAGATCTATTCAATGACTTGCTTGAATTCACACTGTCATGTCATTGTATCGCCAAAGAATAGGTACAAGACACAAAATATAGCTCTTAGATATGAGATTACAACGCATTGAACATTGCAATAGATGAAGTAGGCCTAATACTTTCCAATCCTTCAGGGGAAAGCATTAGTGTGCATTGCAACTAGGATCTGCATGTAACTATAAAAACATAATACACCTGTTGCCAAAATTGCTAGTACTGTATTAATATAAAGTATCAGTTTCCATGACATTATTATAAAGATTTAATTGGCTAGTTTAAGAGTCTTACCGTGTGTTAGATGTGTGCACCTCCTTCTGTCACATCTTCTGTTTACACCTAATAGAGAAATGCAAGAACAAGAAAAACAAGTTGATCTGTTTAACTTGAAGAAAACCTGGACTTCCTTTCTCTCTCTCTCTCTCTCTCTCTCTTTCTCTCTCATCTGAGTTTCAGGATATGAAGAGCATAGAAACCTGTGTTAATACATTCTGATGAATGCATTCCTCTTACATACCTCTGAGACAATAAACACAACAGATCTTCAGAGAGATAAGATTTTTATAAGAAACTTTGAGGGGTCCAAACTAGATTACAGTAGAATATATTAAAAGTAATGTGTAAAACACCACATAAACATATGTATTCACACATAAAGACAAGTGGAAAAAATCCAATACTCACACAGCCACAAAGTCTTCGGCAAAGAACTGCATCAGTCGCTGTTTCAGTTTAGTGTGTTCAGGCTAAGCTTGTTTGTCTAGATCTGTCATTCTTCTCATACCCTCCCCCTTTCTTTCTTTTTTTTCTCTTCCACTGTTTCTCTGTCATTCACGGGTGTAAAGAAGCGCTGTTACCTCAGTGTTTAATCTATTTGAAGTACTTTCGTGAATCTGGGTCAATTTATGTGGTGTGTGCTGTCAGCACCCAATACATTTAGAGTGATATTTTCTTACTGCAAAGCTTTTGATACGTAGATTGTTTTAGTGATGTATTGTTGTTGCTTGCCTTTTTTAAAACAATTATTTCTCATTGTAATGAAATATTTGTTATTCTCATGAAACTCTGTAGCTTGCTCAGTTGTTGGAAATTGTGCAAAACTATATGTTGATTGTTTCTGTTCAAAATAAGGACAACTATTATTAGATGTATAGAAGAATTTCTCAAGTAAAAATACACTCCCACACTTACAGTGCATTACCTCTCACTTGCAGTGATTGTGTCATTTTGATATGAATTCTGTCTATTGCCTCAGACGCCTTGCCAAGTAATGCACAAATGCTGTTTATCCTGCCAGGAACTGTGAATCAAGTTTCACATGACACTTTTTGTACCTGCATTTCCTCTTTCCTCTCAATCACAGCGCTACACTGTACCTTAGTGAATTAATCTGCATTTTGAATCTTGAAAGTGAAGGATTAATTAAACACTCAGGAGTCTCTAATATAGATCTGTAGACGTGCAACTTTTAATAAAGTTAAAAATGGAAAAAGACTTTAGTTCGTGAACAACTTCTGTGTATTTAGCGAATAGGTTGAGTAAATGATTCAATGATTCACTCAAAAAGACTCGTTTATCTCCACCTACCACGGAAACATGCGAAATTTATTAGGACACCAAACAGAATGTGAATGCACACTCTATGGCTTTTGTTTTATCAAGTAATAAATAGATAATTTTCAAACATTTAGACTGTGGAAAGTACAGTCTTCAATCTACACCGTTTTTCACAACACTGCAAACCAGCATCTTTGTTTGTGACGTCAGTTGTTTGGTCTGAGGCGTTTCAAAGATGGCCGCCGAGTGACATGACTTGCCTTAAAGGAACTTTGGTAATACCGACCCTCCTATCTCCCAATAGTTAGTAGGGATGGGCGATACCACTTATTTTGTTTTCGATACGATACCAATACTTTTAAAGTTAAGTATCGTCGATATCGGTACCAATACGATACTTCTAAACTGAACTTTTAAATTATGAAATGCATTAAAGTTTACCGCGAGAGTGATTGGAGAGCAGACGACTCTCTACGCTTTTGAATTGCTCTCGCGGTACTTTGATGCATCTTGAACAAGCCTAATGAGCGACAGCCAATAGGAAAGAAGACGGTAGAGCTCATGTGATCATTCTCCTCTCAGTACCGGCAGTGACGCTGTTTGCGTTTTTGCCATAGATAAACATACGCGATGGAAAAGAGCAGACTGTTTCTCATTCATTTTTGTTTTTATGTACGGATTCAATTTATATTATATTATTTAGTCTTTTGCCTCCAATATGTTTGTATTTAGCGCCAAGAAAACTGATTCGCTGTCAACAAGGACGTTACTAGGCAGCCAGTAGTGAGAACGCCAAAAGTCGCTGCTAGTGTGAACCATAGTGTGAACGCAGCTTCAAGCAAGGATTCCCTGAACTTTTGTTTAAAAAAAGTACAAGAAACAACATAATGACACTGCATACAACTTAACCAAACTAAGATTCTTCGCACGAGCTTGCGTTTCTGGTCTCCCGATGTCACACGCGAATGAACGTGGAGTGCAGGCAGTGCCTGCAGAAAAACTGAACAAATCAGTGAATGATTCAAAAGAATCGACTCATTCAATTTAAAACTCAGTTTCATCCCAGCCTATGATTCTCCCGTCCCAAAATAATACACAATAATGCCCATATCCTTATTAATCGAAGGCCTTTTAGTAAAGAAACGTTATAGCAATAATAACGCTGAGGATGCTCAGAATGTGAGAATTTTAGAAAGCCTCAGGTAAGGCAATGGCGCCCTCGTGTGTTAAAAAAGTGCAATGGTCTTTATTGGCAGAGTAAGTGATGTTCTGTAACGCCTGTCAACGTGCCCCTTCTCACAATAACTAGCTACTTCACTTCTGTTCTTGTAGCAAATGTAGTATCTATATGTACCCACAGCCCTTCTTATAGGCTCTCTCCGCACGTGAAGAACAGCGTGCTTATTCAAAATATAAACGAGGCATGGCGCGAGGTGGAGCTTAGCGGTCATGTAGGCTATTACCATGCATAACTCTCGTTTTACTGTCCGTAGCAGCTCCCTACGTGATATAATATCAGTCTAAGGGACTATATACACTTAATAAATACTTTGTAGATATTTATATAGGTATTTTGATATTAAAGGGAATAGTGCAGGCTCCGCGTGTTCTGTAATATGTCACAAAGAGCTGTCAAGAAGGGGGAGGGCACCTTACAACAGCGATAAAACGTGACGATCTCTCAAGCAGCAGAAGAGCGGGATTAAAAATATTGCAGTGGGTCTGAACGACTGGATTTTTAGCTGAATCGATAACACGACTCGGCTGTCAGTCGAAAAAAAGGGCAACTCCCTCTGAAACGGGCTGCAAGAGTCAAAGAACTTTGTTGCTGCAAGTTGCTGCTTCTCATAAGCTGCAAGAGAAAACTTTTCTGCTGAATTTCAAGTGTTTCCTTAACATATGCATGTGTGGCTAGGAGTTTTATGCATTGTTTTTTTTTTTTATAACAGTTTCTACCAAAAGAGTAAGAACCTAACAAATTGTGTCCAGTTCCAGTTGAGACTTAGCATAAAGTCAGTCATTGGTTTTGGCCTTTAATACATTAAATTGGCTCAATGATCATTTTTGTCTAATTTCATCAGTATTTACAGTTTATTTACAGGCTGAATCAATGTGTAAATACATTGGTGGTGTGTGATATATTATATTCCAGGTTGGTTGGAATGGTATGTTCCTAAAATACTGTCAGTTGCCAAATTTGCACCAATACGGTGATGTTGCAGAAAATGTCAGCCAAAAATATACATTGGGTATTTGAATTCAAACTTCAAGTCAAAATGTTTTTATATTGCACAATAAAAGCAACAGATGTTAACCCAAAGTGCTGCACAATTGAGAAAAACATAGACTATATATGCAAATTGTCTTATAAATACCAAATAATAATAAATAATTAAATAATTACATGTTTACAGTTTCAATAACAAATCATTATATTAAAAAAACATAAAGATTAACAGCCAATATTTGTTGCAGACAGAAAAACATTTTGTTTATCATTACTTTGGACTTGTAGTTAGGAATTGTTGTAATACGTGAAGTTGTGTTTTTTTCTAAATACGTGAAGTTGTGTTTTTTATGTGAAGTTGTGTTTTTTATAGGGCTGCACGATAAATCGCATGCGATATTTAACGCGCATCTTATCAGTAAAGCCGGTTCTGTAATCAGCGGTAAATCTCCATCACGTGCGGGCTTTCACATTGAGCAGCATTAACTACACAGAGCCGTTGTTCTCTGACGAGCTGCGCAAAAAATCGCGCGAATATGAACGTGGTTTTGCGCAGCTCGTCAGATTACAGAACCGGCTTTCTGACAAGATGCGCATTAAATATTGCATGCGATTTATCGTGCAGCCCTAATTATTACAAAACCTCTCTCCCCAGTCTGGCATGAACGGCTCGAATAGTTCCTGTATCAAATGAAG